CTGTAGAGGGACAGGCACGACTTAAAGGGTAGGACAGGGGTGTGGTGTGAAGGGGTGTGGTGCCAATGCTGGGTCTGGCGAGGTTATTGATCGTAGATGGCATCGCCATTTTCACGGTTGGCACCACACCCCTTCATGCCACACCCCTTTTCCGACCTCCAGAACCAAGCAAAATCACGTCGGCTGATGTCAGGGGGGTCCGGGCTGAAGGGCCAACTGTCCACCACCGCTACCATAGACAGGGCGGGATGGACGGGAGGATGGGGAGGTTCTCCTCCTCCTCCTCCTCCTCTGCTTCTTCTTCTTATTATTATTATTAATATTATTATTATTCTTATTCTTATTATTATTATCATTATTATTCTTATATGTTTACTATTGATATGAGTATTAATAGTACTAGTATTATTATTGTTGTTCTTATTATGTTTCTCCTCCTCCTCCTCTTCCTCCTCCTCTGCTGTTTTTTCTTATTCTTCTTATTCTTATTATTATTACTACTACTATTACTATTATTATTGTTATTATCACTATCAGTATCATTATCATTATTATTATTATTATCAGCATTATTATTGTTATTATATGTTAACTATTAATATCATTATTAATAGTACTAGTATTATTATTGTTGTTCTTCTTCTGTTTCTCCTCCTCCTCCTCCTCCTCCTCCTCCTCCTCCACCTCCACCTCCTCCACCTCCACCTCCACCTCCTCCTCCTCCACCTCCTCCTCCTCCTCCTCCCTCTTCCTACTTCCTCTTCCTCTTCCTCTTCCTCTTCCGCCTCTTCCTCCTCCTCCTCCTCCTCTTCCTCTTCCTCTTCCGCCTCTTCCTCCTCCTCCTCCTCCTCCTCTTCCTCCTCCTCCTATGGTAGTGGTGGTGAACCTCCAATGAATCGACAGAAGGCAAGGCGGAGGCTCTTCTGCAGCCGCCGGCACCTCCAGGGCGCCTCGCGCCAGGCCCCGGGGCTGTCCGCAAGGAGCTCGGGGGCGGAGGGCCGGTCCCTGGGAGGCGGCCCAGAGCTCTGGGCAGGACGAGGATGATGCGACTGGCTCAGGATACGTTCGAGGAGCTCTGGGGTATCTGGCGGCTCTCGTTCCTGCAACCCGCGTGGAATGTCAAGAAATCTCGGCAATCTGGGACATCGTGAAACGTATCGTTATCATTACCTCGAACTAACCTGACTGGGGACCCCGTCTTGAACAAAGATCGAGACGTCGGAGGGGAGGGGTCAGGACGGGCTCAACAAGGAGAGGAAGAGGAGGCGAAGTAGGAAGAGGAAGAGGAGAAAGAGGAGGGAAGGTCAACTCCTTGAGCGGAATCTGAAGGCCTGGCGGCCTTTTCGCCGCACGAGGGCCCGAGCTCTTGCACTCCGACGGTAGATAAGGCGAAAACGGCCCCCTGCCAAGACCTGTGCTCACTCGGCTCTGCGTTTATTAAGCACTAAACGTGTTTCGTCATAGGTTGCGGGCAATGACAATGCTGCAGGATTCTTTTGCGCTGGGAGGCGAAGGAAAAAGAAGGAGCCCAACAAAAGCCTACACCAGACAGGGAGACTAGGCAGATGAGGGCGCCTCACTTCGAGAAGAACAAAACATTGAAGACAATGATGGAACTGACCCCCCCCCATGCACTGGCATCAGAACCGGCATCCAAGAGTTGGCATCCAAGAGTTGCATGCATTACTTGTACTCCGCAAAAGACTCAAATGGGTCGAAAGAACGGATATATTGTACGCCAACCCCGAATCTGATAAAGCAAACGGTACTGGAATCTCTGGAAACGCCGACTTCCCAAGGAAAGCGCTCACCCCAGTACTCGATCCGATTGAAGAAGGGCTCCTCGAATGATTTGAATGGAAAAGCATATTTGGCCTTGTGAGTCATCTTTCTCCGAAGCCCTGGCTCGAACATACTGGGGAGCTTTTGGAATCCTCGACAACTCTTGATAATTCTGGCGCAACAGATTGGCAAAGGAGCTGCGAGCATTGGATGAGCTCTGGCATCAACATGAGCTGCATCATCGTCGGCGGCATCCACAAGCTTCTCAATACAGGCGAAGATAACAGAAGAGGCAAGCGCGGTGCGGTACGCAGCAGCCCTCGCTTCCTTGCGACAAAGACCGCGCGGACATGCGGCTCTTCCCTGCGGCGGTCGAGCAGTAGAGCACGTCGTCGAGGAGAGCGTGGCGGGGAGCATAGGTCAGACCCTGGAGCCCCCGGCGCACTTGCCACTCGACGTCGGCCGTGGGATGGAAGACCTGAACCACGAACAGCAACACTGCGACGGCGATCTGGTTAAAAGCTTTGATGATGATGATGAGGAGGAGGAGGAGGATCTGAAGGGAAACAGAGGAGGATGAGGAGGATGAGGAGGAGGGGAAAGGGGGAGATTCTGACGCCCCGTCTCGAAAAGGCCGGGACGCCAAGAGGTCTGGGAGGGGCGGTCCGGCGCGGTCGCCCACCCCCCCCTCGGCGAACGCGCGCGCGCGGGGGGGGGGCCTTGCGCGGGAGGGGGCGGGGCCGACGCTCGAGCCAAGGCGCGGGTGGCCTGTCGTACAATAGCGGGGGCGGCGGCGGCGACGACGGCAAGGAGGGGGGAGGAGGGACAGCGTCAGGTCGGGCATGTCCCCCTACAGGCGGGCTCTGGACGAGAAATCAAAATACTGAAAAATGGGCTAAATAAAAAATACGAGAAGAAACGTCCCCCGACTAATTTTTTGACTATTTTTGAGCACTCTTCCTGTAGAGGGACATGCCCGACTTAAGAACAGCGGGGGGGGGCGTCCTCCTTCGATGCCCTCGGCCTTGACCTCGTCGCCCTCCTCTGCCCCGTCCCTCCCCGTGCCTCCCCCGATCTCCCTCCGCCGCGCGCCAAGGGGGGGGGGCGTCCAGCGCCGACCCAGGCAATCCGCGCGGGCCTCCCGAGGAGTGCGTGCCTGTGCTCTCCGTTCTTGCTCTGAGAATGGGGAAATCGTACGAGCAGAGCATCCCCCCCCCACACACGGGGCTGGGCCTAAACGTTGCTTTTCTTTTTTGCTTTCGGCCTGCTCTTCGCTTTGCTCTACCTGTTTCCCCGTACCTCCCTGCCAAACGAAAAACGAAGCACAGCCGACGTCCAGCAAAACAGCGTTTGGGTCCAGCTCTGAGAACCCCCCCCTCATAACAATCACCTCGAAACGCGAAGTCGTTTCGACAACGTGCCCCAGAGAAATAATCAAGCAGGACAAGACTGTGTAGTAGACGCCCAGGTCCGTTTAGCAAGCGCCACTTATCGGGTCCGGGTGTTTTTTCCTCCCTTGAGGAAAGGAGGAGGGGGAGGGAGGCTGGAGGAAGGATCTGGAGGGCTCCTGCGTAGAGGTCGCGGGGTGGGGGGAAGGGAGGCAGATGGGGAGGGGGGTTCTGGATCTCTGGATCTCTAGATTGGCCACGCGCGCGCCTCGTGAGGGCGCGAGGTGCAGGCAGAAGAGAAAGAGAGAGTGAGAGAGAGCGGCATCAGCACAACGACGACGGCGGCGGAAGACGACTGCGGGACGAGGACGACAGACGAACGAACGCAGCGACGCGACCGACGACGACAGGAAGATGAGGGGGAGAAGGGGGGAGAGGTGAAAGGAGGGAGTGGGACGGGAAGAAGGGGGATAGCGGGAGCGACGGACGGGGAAAATGAGACCAGCATGGAGGAGAAACAGTGTCGGCGATGATCCTCGATAGGAGACTGCTGGCTCTCGCGGTTGACGAGCCTCGATAGGTTGACGTTCCTACAACCACTACCGCTACCAAGTTCCCCATTACCACTACTAAGTCCTCGACTGCCGCTGCCACCGAAACTAAGGTTGGAGCAGGACGAAATAAGAACCGCCTGCGCCGGAGGTCTCGGACCCGCTCGGAGGCCCACCTGACACTTCCAGGGACCCCGAAGACCACTGGCGAAACGCGACCAGACGAGGGGCGACGATGGGGGGGGACTGGCTCAGGGGGGGGGGGGACATCGACATGGAATCGGCCACACGTCGCCGATATATCGGGAACAGGCCCAAAGAGAGCACATACTCGAATCGATAAATCGGATCGACAATCGAAATGATTCGGATCTGCGGAAGTCGGCAGCCGAATCGGGAAACATCGAATGTTCGGCACTCGGCAAGCTAGTATGACTCCAATAAGAAACCAAAGTCCAAACCGGAATCCAGAGTCGAATCGAATCTCGAATCGGAATCGGAAGCCATCGAGATCGAGTCGAATCGCCCGCGATTGTGTGGCGAAGGGCGTCCTGCAGCGCGTCCCGAAGCGTCCTCCCTGGGAGTGGAGGAGGAGGGAGAGGATGAGGATGAGGAGGAGGAGGGGGAGGAGGAGGATGTGGAGGAGGAGGATGAGGAGGAGGTGGAGGAGAAGGAGGAGGTGGAGGAGGAAGAGGAGGAGGAGGAGGAAATGGAGGAGGAGGAGGAGAAGGTGGAGTTCCGGGGAAGGGTGGGGCCATCAGACCCCTCTCGTTGCCCCTGGCCCGAGCGGAGGCCGCGCCCTCCCCCACATCTCCAGAGCACCTCTGAAGACGACCGGCGAAGTGCCGCTGCGATCCGAAGGTCAGGCCGCGCCGAAGCCTTCGCTTGGGAGGCGCTTGGCCGAGGAGGAGGACGGACGAGAAGGAGGAGGAGGAGGAGGAGCAGGAGGAGGAGGAGGAGGAGGCAAAGGAGAAGGAGGTGGAGGAGGAGGGGGGGGAGGAGGAGGAGGAGGAGGAGGAGGTGGAGGAGGAGGAGGTGGAGGAGGATGAGGAGGAGGAGGAGGAGGGGGAACAGGAGGAGGAGGAGGAGGAGGAGGAGGAGGAGGCCCTCGCTCCACCGCTGCTCGGGAGGCGCCGGGGGGCCCATGCCTGGGATGCCTCTCCGTGGGGGAAGCCCTCGCCTGACGGAGGCCCTCGCCTGACAGAGGCCCTTCGTCGGGAGGCCCTTGCTTTTGGGGAGGCCTTGGGCTCTTCGGGTACCCCTCTCTCGCGGGGAAACTAGCAGGTACCGATGGTGGGCGCGCAGACATGGATTGGCGCGCGGTCGCCAAATCTATGGATCGGGTGAGGTGCCCTCCCCAGAATGCGGTACCGATACTATCCGATTCCGCTACTCCCCCTGGACCTCTCCCAGGGTGTGCTCTGACCAGGATTTCGAGCCGAATATCCAACGGTGGCCAGGAAGACCTCCCAGGAGACCCAGAAAAGGAAAGGCGAGCGGAGGGTAACGGTATCGGTATCTGCTCCTCCTCTGATCTCGGGCCGGCGTGGTGCTGGCCCTGCGGCGGGAGGCCGAGCGAGAGCGGCCTGCCGTGGTGTTGAGCAGGGACCGACCGTCACGGCATCCCTGCAGCCCAACCACGACATGTTCTCAGAACCCAAACAGGCTCAAATAACAAAAACCATGTCCTTAGAACTTAAGCTGAATGAGTTAGAACAGGGCAATATCAGCCACAAAAATTGCTCTACTCAAATTTCGCAGATGCCACAAGAAAAAATTCTTCTAACATTATTTAGTGGGCCTATATGCGAGCCGGGACGCTTCGCCACTGCTTGAAAAGGTGAGGGCGGCGGCGGTGGCGACGGCGGCGCTCTCCACCTCGCGGGCCAGCGCGGCGCGCGGCCCCGCGGCGGGTGGCCCCACGGCTCCGTCGTCGTGCTGGTGGTGGTGATGGTGATGGTGATGGTGATGGTGATGGTGATGGTGATGGTGGTGGTGGTGGTCGTCGTCGTCGTCGCCGTCGCCGTCGCCGTCGCCGTCGCCGTCGCCGTCGCCGTCGACGTCGCCGTCGCCATCGCCGTCGCCATCGCCGCCGCCGCCGCCGCCGCCGCCGCCGTCGTCGTCGTCGTCGTCGTCGTCCTCGTCGTCGTCGTCGTCGTCGTCGTCGTCGTCGTCGTCCTCGTCGTCGTCGTCGTCGTCGTCGTCGTCGTCGTCGTCGTCGTCCTCGTCGTCGTCGTCGTCCTCCTCGTCGTCGTCGTCGTCGTCGTCGTGGTGCGCGGGCGGAGGCGGCGGCGACGGCGGCGCTCTCCACCTCGCGGGTCAGCGCGGCGGGCGGCCCCGCGGCGGGCGGCCCCGCCGCTCCGACTGCAGGGCCGCGCGCCGCTGCTCCTCCGCGGGGGGCCCTCGCCGCGGCCAGCGGGGAGGCATCGCCCCCTGGCGGAGGAGGGAGAGAAGAGGAAGGGAATAAGGAGGAGGAGGGGAGGAGGAGGAGGAGGAGCAGGAGGGGAGGAGGAGGAGGAGCAGGAGGGGAGGAGGAGGAAGAGGAAGAGAAGGAGGAGGAGGAGGAGGAGGAGGAGGAGGAGGGGGAGTTCAAACCAGATGTTCTGCATGAGTGCATGCACATACACCGATGTTGGCCAGGCCCACCCTGAACCCCTGAACGGTGCAGGCCAGGAAGGCATACGCTCCGATCCCGGGCCCAAGGTGGGCCTGGCCAGGATCGGTACATGTGCATACGTCCCTTCGCCCGAGGGAGGGCTGGGGACCGAGAGGGACAGGAGGGGCAGCCAAGTGCGCCCGCGCCACATCGACATCCCGTCTCTCCCTCCCGTCTTTCCCCATGGCGCGCATGCTGTCTTCTCTAAATGTATCTCTGCGGAGGCGTGTCATGGGCGACCTGGACCCCCAAAGGGGCAGGAGGATGAGGACCGCGAAGGGGATGGACGGGAGGAGGAGTGAGGCGAATGAGGAGGGGCAGGAAGATGACTGGGCGAATGAGATGGGGGGCACAGCAATTCTCACGAAGACGAAGGACGAAAAAGGGGGGATGAAGAAATGGGGAAGGAGGGCGACAACTCATTGCCCTTCTACACGGGCACTGGGGGAGGAAGAGGAGGAGAAACATTGAGAATAATAATAGTAAGAATAATAAGAATAATAATAATAATATGATTACTAATAATAAGAACAATAAAAAGAATAACCACAGAAATAAGCATACTAATAAGACTAAGAACAATAATTATAAACAGTACACTAATACTAACACCAATAATAATAATACTAATGATAATAATACTAATAATAATAATAATAATAAGGAAACGAAGACGTGGCAGGGGCAGAGGAATGGGAAGAAGGCAAAAGAGGAGGTGGGCGAAAATGAACCAGCACTGCTCCGGGGCGGAGGGGAATGAGAAAGAGCAATCAGGGCAGTGGACACCAAGCGGACGGGACGAAGCAAGACGACGACGGGGGCCGGCAGCGACAGGAGGGGAAGCATGAGAAGGGCGAGGGAAACGAGGAGGAGGAAGAGGAGGAGAAAAAGCAGGACGCGGAGGAGGATGCGGCGGATGCGGAACAGGAGGAGGAGGAGAAGGAGGAGGAGGAGGAGCAGGAGGAGGAGGAGGAGGAGGAGGAGGACGAGGAAGAGAAGGAGAAGGAGGAGGAGGAGCAGGAGGAGGAGGAGAGGAGGGGAGGGGAGGAGAGGAGGAGGAGGAGAGGAGGAGGAGGAGGAGGAGGAGGAGGAGGAGGAGGAGGAAGGAGAGGAGGAGAGAGAAAGGCGTTGAGCAACTCATTGAAACATCGAGATAAACCAAGCCAGGGGCCCATCCTTCTGCGACATCCTTCGAGCAGGTCGATCTGCGATGGCCCTGTGGCCCGGAGCCGAGCGAATACGCCTGAGATAAACAAGGAAGAGGGGAGGGAGGAGAGGAGGAGGAGGAGGAGGAGGAGGAGGACGAGGAGGAGGAAGCGGAGGCGGAGGAGGAGGAGGAGGAGGACCAACGCATCTGACTGAATGGGTTCTTGTCTGGGCGGCTAGCTGCCGCTGCTGCTGCTGCTTGAAATTCCCAACAACCGTTGCGCCTCTCGAATCATCATGTCAAGAGGAATGGGAGCAGCAAAGACGATGGGGCCCTGCATGCCATCCTTGGGATGTCTGCACGACCTGAAACAGCGTATGGCCGTTTTCTTGTTATTAGATTGGGGCTTTTGAAGCACTATTTCTGGAAACCTCTGGCCATTAATTCATAATCGCCTCCACAGTTCCAGCAGGCCATAACACAGCTCTCATTTTCGAGGCGGTCGAAAACATATATAGTATGGCCATTACGGTTGAGGGAAAAGTGAGAGAGGCTCGGGCAGGTGCCTGGGCACCTCTCGTGTTGGCGACGGGTCTTGGCTTCTATTGTTAAAGCTCGCGTGCGACACAACTCGCACATCCATCTACCTCTTAGCCAGACCCACTTGTGGTACTGCCCTGGTTCTCTCAGACCACGGGAGGCTTCAGCAACGGCCCCAGGACCCTCGGGGGGAGGGGGAGGCGGAGGCGGAGCAGGGGCGATTAGGGCAGCACCCACAAGGGGCTTTACAGCTGGCTTGGAAACAGGTTTCCCGCATGCTTTCCCCCTGGCTTCGGCGCTATGGCGGGCCAGGTGAGCATGGCTTGTGAGACGAAACGCAGGAAACGCTTGATGAAGGCCTGATCGGCCTGGTATTGATCTATTTCAGCTTCCGAGGGGCCCCCGAGCTTCTTCGCGGCCGCTTTGGCGAGCCTGTCGGCAGCGTCGCTCCCGAGGGCCAGAAACTTTTCACGGGGGCCTTCCGGGAGGCTGTCTAAATCCTGGTGCGCTTTTACTTTACAAACTTGGGGGAGGGCACCACCAGTGTGTTTACCTTTGGCAACAAGCTCCAGCCCTGAGTACATATTCTTTTTTTAGCAAAGCCTACTTGACTGTACTTCCGAATGGCTCCTAAGTGGTCCGAGTGGACATTGGTGATGTTAGGGTACATGTGGCTGATGGCAAGGGCAAGATGCTCAGCTGCTCCTGATGTGGGCGACAGAGCGGCTCCTGTCTGTCCAGTCAGGCGAGCCTTGCAGTCGCCAGTTTCGTCCATCACAGCTACCGACCAGCCCGTTTGGTGCCAAACGGTAGGTCCTTGCTTATAGCAGGATCCGTCGACACAGGCCTCGCCAGACATGGCTTCTGTTAGCGGGTCTCCATTTTTGGACCAGAACCCAAAAGCAAAGCCGACCCCCGAAGGCCTTATAAACACGGGGTCGGGAAGGCATTGAACACCATGGGCTAGTGGGGCTTCACTGGGGTACCCTCGAAGATATTCTAGATCGGGGGCCTCTAAGATGTCACTTCTGATGCCATCGAGGAGCTGGCAATTGAAACGGTGCTGCATGGCATCTGTCGGGCGTCCGCAGTCGCATTCCTGGTCGATCTCATAACCTGCTGCAGCCAAGCGGGACCTTGTCCAGAGACATTGGGTGAGGTAGGCCAGGAGGCAGCCCCTCTGGGGCTTGGTGAGGTTCGGGTCGTCCAGAACAGCTTTTGCGGTCGAGCAATCCAGACGGTCCTGAGGACGCCCCATTTTGGCTGCTGCTGTAAACTCGAGCTGCGCCTTCCAGGCGTCCTCCAGGTGGTACTTGAGGAGGGCTGGCGGGGTCGCAGTGAGCTGGGGGATTAGGCCTTGGCTCGTCTCTATCTCGAACGGGTTGAGGAGCTTCGAACCTATCCTCTTGGGGCTCAGCAGGGCGGCCCCCATGGGCCCTCGGCAGGCGCTCCAGCTTTTGGGAGGGTTGTCCAAGATTCGGCTCACCTTCTGTTTCAAATCACCGTGATCGTACTTTAGCAAGCCTGGTTGGGCCGAGATCCTCCATACCAGAAGACTGTAGTAGATGATGGGCCCCAGGGCGGCCTTCCAGGAGGGCCCCCCAGCAGGCACAGGCTCAGGACTCGGGATCTCGTTGGGCTTCTGAGGCCAACGGTGCTGAGGTCGAAGTTCTGGCTCTGAGCGAGTTCTGAATCGGTCAGGCCTACCACTTCGCTTCCGTAATGGTTGGCCTGGTCAAGGCCTGTGTTGTACAACTTTCGCATGTCAGCCCCAGCCTTTTTGATAGCCTGGAGCCTGCGCCTGCGGTGCTTCATCTTCTTGAAACGGAGGCGCAGAACAGCGCGGCCACGGCCACTGCGGACGCGACCTCCAGCCGCGCAATCTATACCGAGATTGGCGGCGGCGCCGGCTCGCTCCAAAGCCTGGGGCCCTGCTAGTGAGCCGAGGGCCTTGACCAGGGGCTCCCGAACCTTTAAGGAGGAGGCTAGGACGGCTGACTTGTGGAGGGCAATGTTGCTATCTAGGTCCTCCTCTATGGTGTCCTTCATACTCTTTGAGGCTCCTGCAAGGGTCTTGGTCAGGGTCTTGGGGCGCTTATCCTGGGCCTGTAAGATGATGTCATCTATAAACATGTGGAGGCTAGTATCTATGTTGTCCTGGGCCCAGACATCGAGCGGCACAATGCAATACATCTGTATAACGGAAGTGGCGAAGCTGCAGCCTGCGGGTACTCCATACTGCGGGCTGCCAACGAAGACTGCTTGCGACCTGTTGGCAACTAGACGGGGCGATCCATGCTGGTTGGCGATCAAGGCCGCCGCAGCTTGATTGAAACCTGTGCCGACCGCTCTGGAAAACCATTTGTCCCGATTGATGTGTTCGTAGTAGTTTGAGAGGTCCCGGAGCACCGCAGCAGTGAACCTGGAAGCACCTTCGTAATGGGCCGATTCCGCCTCGAGGGCCTGCAGGAAAACGGTCTCTAAGATTCCTCGTTCTCCCTGGTGGGCCAGATAAGGCCTCTTGTTTTGAAACTCCCATCGTAAAGCTGCTGGCTGCCTTATCTTGGCCCAGAGTCTCCAGATCGAACTCACCAATCCTATCCCTCGGTAGCTGGGCTTGTCTTTGGAACCCTCCTGCTGCTTGTGCTTTGGGGCGAGCATGGTGACGGTCGCGCGCGCCTGAGAGGGCAGGGGGCCGACCGCCTCGAAAGCGCGCATGAAGCGGGCCACGGGCTCGAGCTCGGTGTCACCTAAGAGCGCAAAGTGCCTGGGATGGAAGCCGTCGTAGGTGGAGGCCGTGTTATGGCTGAATCGCTTTGCTGCTGCTCTTATCATGTCAACAGTGATGGGCTCCAGCTCGGCTAGGGCTTCAGGGCTGGGTCTGCGATGTTTATGGTTCTGCCCTTTTGGGGTAATCTCCCAGATGTCCGAGAGACGTTCGGCATCAGCTTTAAGCAAGCCGTGCGGCCTTCCTGACCACCTTCCGATCGAGGCTTTCCAGACTTGCTGCGGCTTCCAAGTGCTGAAATCGTTGGTCCATCTATGGCCCCATCCCACTCCGTGCTGCATATTTGTCTTGGCCCATTCGGCCCAGTTTTTCTCGTCGGTCGACCGGTCGCGGTGAATTTCTCGATCTAAGGCTTTATCGATGTCGACGAAGAGCTTATCGAACAATTCCTTCGCTATTGCGGTATTCAGAGCGTCGCTACGAATGTCGACTAGGGCCGTTTGTAGGGCTGCCTGAACTGTTTGAAGAAGGGCCCCTAACTCGTCAACTTCGCCAAATATAGCTGGGGCCGAACCAAGGTCCTCCAAGACAACTTGAAAATCAGATTCTAGATCACATGCTTGGTCTAAGGCACGCCGTGCGTCAGTAATCTTGTTCTTCAGCCAGCGGAGAGGGCCTGCAAGAGAGCGCCAGCTGCGACGGAGAGCTCGTTCCGCTGCACATGCGGGAACCCATCTGAGCTGAGGTCCTTGACCTCGTAGGCGCTGGCTGCGAAGAGGCGCGTCGGTGACCTTGCTCAAAAAAACTCGTTAAGTCACTGGCCAGGATCTGGTAGGTCTGGTCCAAGGCCCCGCCCAGGGCCCCGTCGTCTGACTTCTGCCCCAAGAAGGCTTCCATTTGGTCCAGGGCCGCTTCGGTTCGGGTCCATGGAGTTGTTTGCGCAATGGGCCCCACAAGCAACTTCGTTGGGATCTTCTGAGGCCTTACCCGGACGGGCGCCAGGAAGGGCTCATCTATGGCGAGGTCAAAGTACACGGGCCTGTGGGGGCCCAGGGGGTACTCCTTGAGGACCTTGGGCTTATTCACGTAGTCCTGGAAACAATCGGAGACGGGGGAGACATCTATCAGGCTCTTGGTCTTTTTGTGTAGAGCGCGGGGATGTCTGAAGAGAGGGCCTGCACTCCCGCTCTCGGGCAGAGGTTGCTCTTGGTGAGCTCGGCAGGCGAGAGGTTAAAGTCAGCCGCTACAACCGGGCCCATGCGATGCATCTGGCCGAGCTGCGCGAGGCTGGCGAGGAGGTTGAGGTTTAACTCGTTCAGCCCAACCTTGTCGGCAAGGTAGGCTGAGGCTAGAATGAATGGAGCGTGTCCTGGCACCTCCAGAGCTACGGCGGTAACTCTTCCCTTTGGCGTATTAGCAGGGTAGTCGACTCTTGTGACCCCGAAGTCGTACCCGTCTCTCACGAGGATGGCTGCGCCCTGCGTAACTGCCCCACAGTCGCTCAGAACCCCAGCCGTGAAACTAGCATTCCATCCACGCTTGCTACACCACTGAGTGGCGTCCAAAACTTGATTTTCGAGAAGCCTGGCCTCCTGAACACACAGAACGTGGATGGACTTGGCGCCATCGGACTCGACGAAAGTCTCGACGCTTCCCCAACAACTTCCATCGAAACTCACGACGCGGAGGTTAGAAACTGAAATGCGGG